AAAAATGATGATATAGAACCGGGTGTGATGGCTCATGCCTGTAATCCCAGCACTCTGGGAGGCCAAGGAAGGCAGATGGCTTGAGGTTAGGAGTTCGATATCAGCTTGGCCAACATGATGAAACTCCATCTCTACTAGAAATACAAAAAATTAGCTGGGCATAGTGGTGCACACCTATGGTCTCAGATACTCAGGAGACTGAGGCAGGAGAATCTCTTGAACTTGGGAGGTGGAGGTTGCAGTGAGCAGAGGTTGCAGTGAGCCAAGATTGCACCACTGCCCTCCAGCCTGGGCAATAGAGCAAGACTCCATCTCAAAAAAAAAAAAAAAAGGAAAAATGACATAGTTCAGAAACTCAGATCTATATAAAGAAAGGAAGAACATGAGAACATGAATAAGTGAAGATAAAGACATTGTTCTTATTCTTAATTGATCTAACAGATGAGTATGTACAAAATAATAGCAACAATATATTTAATTACATATGCTTATAATTACGTATACATGTTTATATATAAGTAAAATAAATGAGAGCAATGATACAAAGAACAGAAGGGAAGAATTAGGAATGTTTTGTTATTACAAAGTACTTGCACAACCTATGAAGCCATAAAGTGTTATTTAAAAGTGGACTTGAACTATTTGCAAATGTTTATTGCAAACTCCAGAGAAACTACTTAAAAAAGTGAGAAAAGAAGTATAATTGGTATGCTCTTAAAGACGAGAAAAAGACTCATAATGCTCAATTAAAACTACAAAAGCCAGAAAAAGTATGCAAGACAAAAATAGGAACAAAGAACAAATGCAACAAATAGGAAACAGTAACAAATATGGTATATGTTAATCTAACTATATCAATAATCACTTTAAATTTCAGTTTAAATACACCAATCAAATGACAGCGATTGTTAGAGTAGATCAAAAAGCAAGACCCCGCTATATGTTGTCTACCAGAAACCCACCTTAAGCATAAAGACACATATAGATTAAAAGTAAATAGAGAAAGATATACCATGCTAACACTAATCAAAAGAAAACAGGAGTTGCTATATTAATTTCAGATAGAGCAGAATTTACAGGAAGGAAATTTAGAGGAAGGAAAGTTATCAGAGATTTTTAAAAAGAGCATTACATAAAGATTAAGAGGTTAATTCTCCAAGAGGACATAATTCTTAATGTGTCTGTGCCTAACAACTAATCATTGAAACACATAAGTCATAAACTAGTAGAATAGCAAGGAGAAATAAATGAATTCGCTATTCACTACTGAGACTTTAACACTCCTTTATCAGAAATGGACAGATCCAGTCAGCAGAAAATCAGTATGGATGTAGCTGGACTCAATAATACTACCAAACACCACCAGTCAACTGGATATAACTGAGATCTATAGACCGCTTTATCCAACAACAACAGAATATACATTCTTCTCAAGCTCGCATGGAATGTTCACCAAGACTACATTTTGGATTATAAAACATACCTTAACAAGTTAAAAGAATATAACTCATATAGTGTCTCATCTCAGACCACAGTCAAATTAAACCAATATTCAATAACAGAAAGACAGAAAATCCCCAAACACTTGGTGATTAAGCAGCACGTTCACACACACACACACACACACACACACACACACACACACACACACACAC